TGGATCTTACCATTAGCTAAGTTCACGACCTTCAGGCTTAAAAAAGAAATAGCAACTTCAATTGGTACAAGGCAATTGTCGTTCCAGACATTACTTTCCCTTCTTTTACCCTTGAATACCACTGCACAACCTCTAGTTATTTTTAAAAACCTGACTGTAACCTAAGAGGTAAATCACTGAAGAAAGGTCTACGAAAAATCAAAAGATCTCTAGCACCCTCAGACCGCGATGAAGTTGGCTTTGATGCCCTCGTTGATTCTTAGTAATTATACCTACTAATCTTCCTTTCTTTGAAACTTTTGGCATTTATGAGGCCCCTTTCTAAGGCGGGTAGAGGCATTGTAATGGCGTATCGAATGCGTATGTATCCTACACAATGCTTTGCAGTGACCAGTCAGTGGACAAGACCGCGCTTCCCCAGACGAGTCTGGTAGGAATTAAGCGACCCAGAAGGGCTGGGAGGCTTGGTAAATCTGAGCGGTCACTGGTCCGGTGTCCTACGTGTGGATCCTGCGTGTGTGTGACAGTGCGTAACTTGGCATCACAGCATATCCGCCATTAGTATAATATTTATAAATAAGAAACAAAGGATGAAGCCTTCTAGCATTAGTTCGTCCCGTCATGACCCGTCCTCCATTCGACTTGAGTCAGATTCACAGCGGCGTATTGAATCCGTACGTGGTCCATACAGTGAGTTGAGATGGCCAGCCGGTGTACAAGCCAATGCTCTTGTCCTCCCAGACAAACCTGATACCAAATAACGGCCCCAGGAGGGATGAAGAGCTCGGCTAGACTAGGCGGATTTCGATACTGGATTCGAATCTGTAACCGAGTTCTTGAGATAGTGCAACACTTGCCACTACACCTTCCGCTCGGTATTTATCGGTATGTGCCGAAAATAATAAGCTGTATTATATTAATATGTATTAGAAGGAGGGAGGGGCTTCGTAGGCCCTCATATAAGCCCCTTTTTTCATCAACTCGAAGATTGACCAGTGAGAAGTTGACGAGCGCATTGAGCAGTGTAATTTTAATGAATATTGTCAACAAGAAGTGTTCTCGGGTGTGGTGCAGTATGTCGTGTCGCGGCGAGAGAGACGCCGCGCGCGAAGGAATGTAGCAGAATGCAGCAGTAAATAAGAAAATTAGGAACAAAAGAACTAACAGTAGAATTCTGTCCTAAGTAATAATCGCATTGCGATTGAGCTGTATGAAGAAGGCTAAAATTGCTATAACGAGGCAAGTGGTCCGCGATAGCCGATTACCCAGAACCGTTCCTAGTGCCCGTCTCTTTGGCTGGCTTAAGGTAGTTTCTGGCGTAGAATTTAGTCCAGACTCTTTAAAACTGTCTGACAAACCAAGAAAGTACTTTTTCGCTCAGTCGCGGTAATTTTACAAACAAAACTACATGTGGTTTGTCATTTTGGGTGTATACCAGCGCTGCTGGAAGTTTTTGCCACGACTTCATCTGTGGCATGTGGCAATTATGAGGTTTTGAAGCCCTCGTGTGTTTTCATCCCTAAAAATGACTTGTAGCTGACTACTGCTGAGTACATAAATAAGTAAAGCATTGTTGAGATGGCGATTTTACCGATAGCGATTAGCCAAGCACAACGTCCATTGCACTTCACAAGGTTACTCGAAGAAACGTAGAAATACGGGGTTGGAGCTGCAGCGCAGATGAACATCTTGTAGTAACTCACCACGACCTTTACTACTGAGCCTTCTCAAAACCCCATTTCTGTTACTGGCCATTTATTGCTTCGTTATCGGCCTAACAGTGTCAGTTGTTCAGCCCGCATTACATCTATGGAGGGAGCCTGCCATAACTGACCGAGCGCTTGAGGGGTTGAAGAAGTCTCCGAGGTTTATGCTTGCCACACTCCCGTTGTGAATTGTTTTGGAAATTTTCAACAATCCGAACTAAAATAGGTAGACTTTTTCAAAGGCATTTAAGCAACAACTGCAATTAATCTGAAATTCAAATAAAGGATAAAGTCTTTGGGCGTTGATCAATCCCGTCTGTGGACTGTGCCCCTGCATCCGACTTCCATTTTGAATGCCTACTGACCTATACAATGACTTGCGGTGGTCATTCTGTACAAGTAGGTGAAATATCCTCCCAGACAAAACTGGTACCAAATAACCGACTACGGAGGGATGAAAGGCCTAGTTGGCTCAAGCGGATAACCATGCGTATGGGATTGTGCGCCATTTGCCACTACCCCAACTTCCGCCCTATCTAAGTTTTAGGCAGAACGAATAGCTTTTTTCATTAGTCACACTTCTAACTCCCAGATAAATACTTTCATGCTAAGGATGCTCTCATGGAAGAACTTGAATTTCCGCTACTCTGAAATGGAAACGACTTCCAACGATTGAGTGATCATAGTGTTTGTTACCACATTACCTCTTGGAAGAACTCATGACCCAACTCTATGCTGGGGCATGCCTATGTAGAACATGGCCAAAGTCTATGCCGTGTGGTAACCACGCAAGTAGTGAGTGGAAAGTTATGTTCTCGTTTGAGAGTTAAACAATATTTTGTATTTCACTTAGACATACTCACAAGCCATACAAATCACAATAGTTCAAGAGCATCCTGCTACTCTCCAAGGATGGTTTAGCACTTTTAGAACCTTCCAAGTAGCGATTACAATCGGTACTCTCGAATGCTCGTTTTTTTTGATGCCGACGTCAGTGGGCAATTGGGGAAAGGATGTGTTAGGTACTCCACGACCTCCAACTTCTGAACCTAGCTCGCTCCTCCCTTACTCGTTCGTCAGTGAATTTGCTGAGTACCAGTACAGGGCGATACACCGACAGACCGCAATACTCCTTTTCTGACATCCTGTGTGACTTTCCATGGTGACTGGACAGATTTTCCAATGCCCTACCCATATTCTATCACCTTCTTTCTATAGGGGTGCTTTAATTTCTCCCTCTTCAAAGGCTATCTGTTCTGATAGTACTTCATATCTCGAACTGCTTTCTCTATGGTCCTACACATAGCCGGTGTTTACTTCTACTCATCATCTGGTTCCTTGTCGGTTTCCGTTACTTTTCATTATACTGGGTTATTTAGAAGGGTTATTGAGGATATGGCAAATACCAAGGGGCTTGCTCATCACCGCATTAAATTAACCTGCGAGTTTATTGATGATTGCTGTGCCTTCCAACTATTCTACGGCCCATTCTCAACAAACACAGTGGGCAAAGACGTTTTCTGCATTTATCTGGCTTTGATTACCGCTCTCCTGAAGTAACGATCTAGGGCGTCTCAAAAGATGAAGGCGTCTGCCCTTAAGAGACGTTTTTCATGTTGGTTGGGAAGAGTCATTGAAGAATTTCCGCCAGTTCATCTCCAGTTCTCGTTGAATACGATATGAGCACGAAATTCCAAAGTCAAGCTGTGAAGGTTTTCTGTAAAACACTTATTTAACCGGTCCGATCATTGAGTTGATACGATTGTTGTTTCGAACCCCTTCAGTCACCAGCGAATTACGCATTGATCTGTTCCCGTGTTATCTCATCGGGAGTTTCTGGAAGTTTTTCGCAGAGATCAATCTCCATCTTTCGTCATCGGTATCTTTTGTCGCATTGATCTGTTCCCGTGTTATCTCATCGGGAGTTTCTGGAAGTTTTTCGCAGAGATCAATCTCCATCTTTCGTCATCGGTATCTTTTGTTGCATGGTAAAAATGAATGACCATCGTATGAGTAACTGCGAGCTGACAGGGGCGTTAGGCAACTATTTAGTCACTTACTGGTCCGGTCTGTTGAGCCCTATTTTTGTTCCATATGATGAAAAATGTAGCTGATTAACTGTTCGTGACGTTACGTGTAAAACTCTCATTCATCACCCAAATGGGAACCCAAATGATAGATATGGAACAGGAACTCCCTCTCACAGTACGATCTAAAAATTCTTCATTTGAGAAAGAATCAGTGTATTACTTCTACTGATGATTGCATCTCAAACAGATGGGAAGGTCCCTTCCCAACTTCGTTCTTGTAGGAGAGGCGACCGATTGAACTGCCCCATACCCGAGGGCGGCCCTTACCCTGATGCAGAGGGAATCCAACCCTGTCTCTCCTGTTTTCCTATGTGAATCCAACCTGTCTCTCCTTTTTTCCTATATGAGCAGACAAAATGATTGACTTGCCTACAGTCGTCAATATGCCTCTGAATCTCTATAACTCCGCAGTCCTCTCATTTACTCTTCCATGACTGTTATTACTGTGATAGCCTTCAAGTTGTTATCACGTTCTGTAAGTGGTATAGGTTCGTGATATTTTGAAGCATTTTTAATTGTTGATCATTATTTCCGCAGAAAACGAGAGCTTCACCATAATTCGCATAAATTTGAGTCAGAACTCATTCAGGTTTACCAACTTCCCTCTCCGACGAGGTCCGATAAACGGCACGAAGCTAGATTGGGAGGATAGGGATACCGATTCGAACATCAGCTGACCTCTGTAAGTCTTATATCAGTATGGCTGTGATTTTAGAATTTCGAACAAAAATATTTCTCTTCTATAGTGCCGATTAAATTTGTCAACCCTCGCCTCTTTTTTTAGACACAAGTAGGGGAAAACAAATTTCCGAGTACATTTAAGTGTTTTTTTTTTCAAAAAGAGAGAGAGCCACGGAGTTGCTGTTAGGCTTGGAGAACAACTCCATCCGAAACAATTCGTTTGACGTAGGGTTCCATTCTCTGATTCGACTTTCTCCTCTTTGTGCTCTAGGAAATGAACCTATTACGGAGCCATCCAAGTGAATTTACGGATGCGCTTTTTAATTTATTTAACTGTTTCTTGGGTGCTCTGTGCTGGTAGGACTTCATGCCGTCATGAGTTTTATGTGAGAGGTGGCGTTCTATCTGCATATAATGGACATTTCTGAAAATTTCATGATTTCAGATGAAGGTACGGTTGAGATACTCGACACTGGCACTGGTTCTCTCGTTCGTAGCGATTGGAGATGCATCGCTTAACGATGAGCTTCCTGAAGAGTAGGTTTACTATAACTTTTGATTTTTAATTTCTTTCTTGTTGTAATCCCAGCAGAACAATGGTAATGTTCTTGACATTCAAGATGATTGACAGATAGGTAGGAATGAACGAAATTTCCTCTCTGAAACCTCTTGAGGCCTAGAAATATTGCCATCATAAACGACTTCTGGTAATTCTGTTCATGACTGATGAAAAAGGCTGGGTTGACGAGTTGGGCCAATTCAGGATTGGGATTGAGCGAAACAGAGCAGCTGAAAGAACCCACTTAACTCCTTAATTTACACGATACTGGCCTAAGCAGCTATCTGCCTGCATGCAATTCGCAAATTCCGGTGCAAATTGTTTTACAGCCTCTGCAATGCCGTAATAACTCGTCCACCTTTGGGTGTGTTCGTCGGCTGAGCCAGTACTAGGGCCCTTGTTACGCTCTATCTTAGCCGCCCAAACCCGATAGCGTCTCTTGTTCTATCCTCCTGATTCATAGGTTCATAAAAAGAAGCCTCAGAAACCGTGAACTGTTCCTTCAGCCCTACTCATCATCTAAACTTTTATAAAAAAGTAGTTTTTGAATACAATACATTTCCCAACGAAATCCTTTCTTTGTGTGGTCTGAAGCAGGGCTGATAGAATGTGTCAGCCCAGCTCGCTACTCGATAATTCCCATGTGCTCGAGATTTTGATGAGAACGTTACACTCGAGATAGTCTTTTGAAATACATGCCATATTTTGAGGTTTCGTTTTCGTTTTCAATGAAATTCTAGCAAGTTTGTGGTTCTTCGAGCGTCTCCCACCACGATGGAACATCTTGAGATAATCCGTGAATTACATGACAACATGCATGAATATGACGTGAGTATCTACAATTTTCTTTTTATTCGGACATCGTAGTAGTATTTACAAAGAAGTGAAAACTTTTTTCATTTTTGATAAGCTTGGTCTCTCAGCATTTAGGCGAAGCGCTGGCAGTAGTACAGTAATCTTCTCAATTCCCTACCCATCTAACCAACTTCTTTTATGCTGTCCTACTGCTGCAAGAACCCCTTGATCCGCTTGTTTGGTCAGCTTTCGCTGATTGCCATTGGTTGCTCTCTTGCACGAACGGACAACGCTGCCTAGGAGAGCTTCTGCCTTTTACAAGGACAAGTCTCCTCAATCATCCTGCTTACCCGAGTTGGGCGAAGAGGATGCCAGGAGGGGTATTACACCATTCAAAGTACGGGGATCGAATAATGGATACCCGTACTGAGAGTGTCCCTCTTGGATAGGCTAATAGCTGCCAGACTGTTTCAGGGGTAGTGGGAGGATCTGAATTTTATATCGGCTCGTGAGTACATGTATAGACCATTCAAAAGCTACCACGGTTCCGAATTTGATTAGAATGTTTGGGCGTAAGTGACCAGAGTGACCAAAGCACCATCGCCAAAAGACTACTCACTATGCTCCACCTGAAAGCTGGCCATCGCCTTATGCTTCACAAGGAAGCGGGGAACAGGGAGTTCTTTACATGCAGCCTTCCCTCGAAATACTTTCATCTCTGCTGCCCTCTGAAATGCCTCAGATGGTACTGCAAAAAGAAATCTTCATTTAGTCCTCCCATTGTTGTAAGATTGAGGCAGGTGACGAATGTAGAGAAAGTAATAGAAAGTTCTCGTGATAATGGGCGCCATGAGCTCTGCAACCCATGTATCTTCCCTGATGATATCCGGCTCGTTGATTCTAAAAGATCTGTGTAATCTAACGAGGTGAGTCCAGATTAGAGTGAACGAGGTTTCGTTTGTCCTGACGATCACGGCAAAAACCAGACAAATTGGCTAGATCTTGGTTGAAGCGTTGGAAAGAATTTGTGTAATTCGAGCAAAGAAGGCTCTGTGGCTTTAATGATGGCAAGAATGGCGAATTCTAAGCTAAATTGTAATAGCAGTTCAGGCTCATTTCCGCCCACTACTTTTCTTATTTGATACCCCCTCTACAGTTGGTGACCCCCGCTAGACGGCTGCCTTCTACGCTCAAGAACCCATCGCTGAAATGTCCTGCTCGTTTAGCTTCATGCTTGGCAAAGGGTAGAACTTATGAGCCGGACGTGGGGTACTAACGGCATAGGGATGTTTAGTTTTACCAATTATTGCGCCTTAGGCTCCTTCGTAACCTGACAGTAACTGGTCTAACTTTGAGATTATATTCGGAGAGATCTATAATCCCAAGAATTTTGAAAATGTGATGGATTCCTTCACATTTTGTCGTCGCTCTCCTCAATCTCTTCTAATTTCAGCTCGACTTTTGGCTAACTCCACACTCAATCGACCACAAAGCGGACATTATGGTCCGAGAAACGGGGCTGAGCTGGTTAACAAATGTCTTAACAAACAACAGCATTCCTTTCCTGGTCACCATACCAGATGTTAAGCAGTGAGTACTTAGGACCAACGGCATTCCCTTTGTTTACTCGTTTGACTACTTGATTGAGTGATTGATGCAGTTGATGCAGTCATATCAAAATTACTGGTTTTTTCCAACTGTGTAGCACATTTTCGGTTCATTTTAAGTGGGCCTCCGTTTCTAAATCAGGTGTCACCATCTTTTTCACTTGGAAGGCTATTTTCTCCTCCTGGTGGGTAGGATCGTAACAATTAACTCCTATTAGACAAATCATTCAAAGGGCTTATTTTGGTCATGAATAGTTCAGGAACTGAAAAGGGGGAACCTCATCTACTACATGCTCACTGACGATGATTAGAACCTTTTCCAACTTTTTCCTATCGTCCCTAACAGGTTAACCAAAAGTGGTAGGAAGCTACGTATTCAAGAAACATATGGGCCGAGGGACTACTGGATCTTTCTCTGACTCTTTTGATAGGGCATACTTCAAGCTGAGTTGTCGTGGGGAAGGTACCTTGACGAACTAATATTTTCAGGTATTACCCCTTCTGAAAATTTTGCTCCCAATTAAGGACCATAGCGTCAGCCAGACTTGTACCGTATAGCCCTCTATAGGTTTGATGTACAATGTTAAGGTTGATTCTGGATCGAGAACACAAACCACTAGCACCCTCGTCCAGTTTTACNTTTAAGTGGGCCTCCGTTTCTAAATCAGGTGTCACCATCTTTTTCACTTGGAAGGCTATTTTCTCCTCCTGGTGGGTAGGATCGTAACAAATCATTCAAAGGGCTTATTTTGGTCATGAATAGTTCAGGAACTGAAAAGGGGGAACCTCATCTGTCACATGCTCACTGACGATGATTAGAACATTTTCTAAGCTTTTTCCTGTCGTCCCTAACAGGTTAACCAAAAGTAGTAGGAAGCTACGTATTCAAAACATATGGGCCGATCACAACAACGAGGGACCCCTCCGACTCTTTTACAAGGGCATACTTCAAGCTGAGTTGTCGTGGGGAAGGTACCTTGACGAACTAATATTTTCAGGTATTACCCCTTCTGGAGTTTTTGCTTCCAATCAAGGTCTATAGCGTCAGCCAGACTTATACTGTATAGTCCTCTATAGGTTTGATGTACAATGTTAAGGTTGATTCTGGATCGAGAACACAAACCACTAGCACCCTCGTCCAGTTTTACAAAGCGCCTCAACGATGAAGGAGGAAACAAGGCTCGAGTGAGTAAAACCTTACAAAAGGGTAAACCGGTGTCATAAAGGTGTTCGATACTGAGTAATGAGTTTTGTTCACATAAATGTCACATTCACCAAATATTCAATTTATTTCCTGCTGCTATTCACATCTTAATTTTACTGCCCACTTCAATAGTAACGTGAATCCAAAATAATAGAAAGTCAAACTGCTAGTTACGGAGCCTCCTGGAATGGGTCTAGTTTTTCATTGTAACTCATTGAAACGAAAATTTAATCGACGCCTTCCCATCCACTCTATCAGAATCAAAAAATCCAGTCTTGAAACAGCCTTCATTTTTCTGCGGTAGTGCCACACGAAATAAAAAGCTCGTTCAATCAGTAGATTTCAAGAGCCCACTGTATAACAAAATCTCCCGATGGAATGCTCCCTAATAAGGCGGAAATTGTTGGAAACGAATCTCAACGGCAGAGAATTGGATGTATAGAGGGACGTTTAGCTGAGAATACCCAGTGTCTCTATAAAGGAAGGCTCGTTCGATGAAGGCGAAGTGGAATCATCTACTCTCAAAAATTCTTAGAAATTCGCGTCCACAGTGGTGCATCCCAGCCATGTACGGCAGATGACATATCAACTCAACAACAGCGACGTTCATCTTTCTTAGTTTGATCCATTCCGTGCTGCAATTCAGGTGATGAAATGGCAGTGAAAGAGGAACAGAATTGTCTTCTGTTACGACAATGCAAGATCTCCCATTGAACGTCGTGTTGTCGAACTCACTCCTAAAAGAGATGGGAGCTGCTGAAAAAGGGCAAGCAATCAACCCTTCCAGGGGTTTGGATAGGTTTGTGGGCGAAGTCAAGACTTGGGTTGCCCACAAAAAAGGTTTTGCTGATGGAGTCGGCCATTTGCCAAGCCAATGGGAAGCATCCGTCGAAATAAAAGCCTTTCTTCTTGATAAAAGTTGCTCAAAAAACCAATACCTTGAAATTCTGAGTCAGAACATAAAGGGGAAGAGCATGCAACTGAACAGCCCTCGATATCAACGTTTCCAGTATTTCCTAGGGACCACTATCTGTAGAAGGCGGGGTTCCCAGCTCTTCCCCAACAGGCTCTTTACCAGGTATGTGATAAGTAGTAGACCTGAGTGCTTGCTTTCTAGTATGGACTCGGCGAATATCATTCATATAACCATATAGTCTCATGGATGGAGGACATTCAACGGAATTATCCGGACAAAGCGATGGTAATAACCATTGGAATGACCGAGGAAGGTCGACCCATTAAAGGCATCAAGGTTAGTGTGCATTCATAATTTTTTGATTAACATTTTGATGAGAAAAGTTTTTCAGATTGGTACCGGTGTCTATCGAACTGATAAGCGAGTATTTTGGATTGACGGTGGAATTCATGCCAGAGAATGGGCTGCTGTTCATACGGTTGCCTATGTTATTGACCGGGTGAGTTTTGCTTTTAGAAAAGCTCAGCCCCTCCATTTCAGTGCACATTATACCTCCCACAGCCCCCATTTTTTTCAGTTTTTTTGCAGTTTTTTCAGTTTTTTGCACTCTTGCCAGATCCTTCGAATATTTTGCCTTGACAGATCTAACTGGTTTGGGCAAAAAGTTTTTCATCAACCTCTTGCATTGTAAAAATAGGAGATGTTGCGAACATGCATTGCAGTGCGGTCAGAGGGCTGACCGATGGCTACCGTATCCTTCGCTATGAATATAGCGCTGAAAGTTTCATTCCCTACTGGGAGGGATACTTCATGAACTGCGGATGCGGTGATGCGATTTTCGGGGAGAAGTTACCGCACCCGAGACAAGATATAACTTCATGCTCTATGCCTATAAAAAACTTGCCAAAAATGCGAGAGACTGGAACAGTTATCACACTCCCACATATAGCCCATATATGGAAATTTTTGGACCCTCCCAAAGTTACAAAATTGCTACATGTAGGTGAAGTAGTGTTTCAGCTCATAGCAGACTACGACACGGATCCTCTCGTCCGTCAAGCAGTCGATCAGCTCAACTTTTACATCTTTCCAGTTCTCAATCCCGATGGCTATGAGTACTCTCGTAGCGGAGTCTCGCCTATGGTGAGGAATAGCAACGTTTTCTTTTTCACTCTATACAAAGTTACGAGAAGACTTTGAAGAAAACAAAAATGACCGCAGACCTTACCATATGCAGTAATTGTACCTTGAGGAAGGTATTCATTTTAGATTCGACTATGGCGAAAAAACCGCTCATCAATGATCTGTAAAAAGGACCAGTGGTTCCGCGAACGATGTTGTGGTGGCGTGGATCTTAACCGAAATTTCGATTGGTTTTGGGGAGGTGAGTTCTCAGATAGGTTTCTTTTCATCAAGAACTTGTTGCGATACACCACCACGAACGTAGTCGTCCTAAGCTCATGGTTCTTACAGGTTGAAGAATAATGGTTTCGACAAGAGTTACAGAGGCTGCTCACAGCGACCTATCATAGCGGGGTGGTCACTTTCCGATCACTTCCGTGAGTGAGAGAGAAGAGAGATGAAGTACTTAGTCGCTTCCAAATAACTGTCTAGCGATGTTATATTAAAGAAAATCACAGGAATCCAGGAATCACCGCTGTTGGGGTTCAGCGTCTTGTGAAAAGAGGGTGGTCAGGAGTTCCCTTCACGTTAGGTCGCCTGAGTTATTTTTGAATGCATATTCCCTTGCTTAATATGCTTCCTTTATCTTAGCCCTCTTAGTTCCGACTCGCTAACTTGAGAGCTCTGCTTTTAGAGACCGCTCTAATGACGGCACTCTTGCCAAGGACTTCTGCTAAAGTGGTTACATTAATTGCTTTCGAAACGAAACAGCATTTCTCATTTTCGGGGAAGGGAAAATTCAAAGTCATTCACTTCTAAAAATAAGTCCTCTGTCTTTGGAGCCCTAGTATATAAAACATTTTCAATACACCAGCAATTTGCAAAAACCTGATTTGGCAACAGTTCGGACCTGCAACGGTCTGATGAAGGACTTTTTGGGGATGATCCTTCGATTATAGCCATCCTTTAAATTTTAATCAGCAAAAACAATCAGCGATCTTGATTCCGAACATCGTAACTACTGGATTCTTTTAGAGATTGGTTCAAGTTCTGACCGCTGTTCGGAGATTTACCAGGGAAAGTCACCCTTCAGCGAATCTGAATCGAGGTTCGATTAAATCAATGTTTCGTAAGGAATTCATCTGTTTTGCATATCATTGGGCGGTTCACGGAATCGTCAGAGGGGATGGGGAATTCAAAAAACATTTTTGTTAAAAATCCGTTGTAAATTTAATTCTTAAGAGCAGTACGCGACATGATGATGTCGCCGGAGCTAAGGGGAAAAGTGGACGCCTTTCTCACTCTGCATACCTACTCGCAGGTTGGTTCAGCTTCTCTACTTTCCATTCCCCCCTTTACCACTATAACATCTTCTGATAATATTTTTAGATGTGGATTCATCCTTTCAGTCATCAAAGGAAAACGGTGCCAGAGGATATCAATGATATTGTGTGTATAGCCTATAGCATTTGTTCCTTGAAATCGCGGGATAAAAGATTAAACTTTAGTAATCTTCCAGGAACAAGTTGGAAGGAAAGCAATTGGGGCTTTGGAGAGCGTCTACGGGACAAAATACCGATTTGGAACTGGAGCCGATATCTTATGTAAGTCGAACTACTATTTATTACTCTAGTAGATTTACAATAATGTCTACTCGTAACAAAGAAAGCGTAAACAGTGTCTCTGAGAAATTTTTGCATTTGTGAAACCTCCTTTCACTCAAACTGTAGAATACCTTGCGGGCGTTGCGGTCCCATCCGAGAAGGCAAAGTATACTTCGAGTTCGTTGGTAACCAAGGAAATGCTGCTGGGCAAGTTCATTCGGTGTCTACTCTGGTACCGACCTTTTCTTTGTGGATTGTATCGCTAGGTAACCTAGCTTACGCCGGTCTTCCCTCCTTCATGTGACGATGTTAGCATGCTGGGCTGACTAGTCATTTCTCATTTTATAACAAAGGTTTCAAAACTGACACGAAATTTTTTGAAGGAAACTCCAGGGTGAGATGGTTGTCTCTGTCATTAACTGAGTCCCGCAAACCCGTGTGCAGTTTTGAGGAACCCAGAAGCCCAGATGCCATCCTGTTTTCAATCATTAATCAAATCAGTCGTTTGATTTCTTCGATTCTATGAACATTCACTCACTCGACTAGCTTTGAAAAAACTTCAATTTGCTTCTAAATTTCTAAGTAAGGTTGTGATCAGTTCACTCTGGAATGATTCGCTATTACAGACCCATCGTCTGGAGGATCGGACGACTGGGCGAAAGGAAAAGGCGGTGTCAAATATGTGTATTTGATGGAACTGCGTCCTAGTGAAGAAGGTAGGCCAAATTCGTGAAGTAAGATTGGAAATGTAATGAAAACGTCAAATGAAATCAAGTGTATTAATACGCTGACGACGAGGGCGTCAATTCGGTATGAGTATCACACAAAGCTTGGAAAGATTTACTTGCTATTCAAAGCTAGCTTCAGAAAATCTCTCACTTTTTATTTTAGTGTGGGATGGATTCATCCTGGATTCCCGTCAATTGATTCCAACCGGGCGTGAAACATGGGCAGGCATCAAGGTGGTCATCGAAGCGGTATTGAAGCTGAGGCGAGGTAGTTTTGAAGAAAATCAAGGGCTTATACCGTCTCCTAGTGGCTCAGGCAAGGCGTTGAAAATTGTACGAGGTTGTTGAAATTGGAATCATAAGTTTCAATTGGACATTCTAAATAATCAAAAGCACATGGCTTTGTTTTAAAATTGCGCGTTTGCATTTTCCAATTATTCTATTTTATTGGATTGTATTAGTATTACGGGGAACACCATGATACCACAATCCCCTCATGCTAGTACATTTAAGAAATAAACTAAAAAAAACTATAAGAGATAAGTCGGAACAACTAAGAAGTAATTGTAGTCATATTCCCTTTTGTACCTGAGTTTTGAAACTTCATTTCTTAGCTCTTTTTCTTACCCTGGGAGGCTTCTTCTCGAATCACTCGAGAAACCAAACCCTTTTGGTCGCCTATCAGCAAGTTGACTGTATCAAATCTTTACTCGATGATGTGGTTCACAGTTGGAGCAGAACCTCCGCAGCTTCATATATTCCATTTGCTGAACTTTCGGCACAATACTTTCGGATTTCACTATTCCTCTCTTCCATCTCCCATCTTTACTTATTCATAATTGCACTAAGCCTCTTCGCAATCCTTCCTACAAAGGCGTACCCTGATATAGTCCTTCCATACTCGAATTGTGAGATTAGGAATTACTAAGATGAATCTCAGTAGAAAAGAATCTGAAGAAAACCCGAGAAAGGGGATGAACAATCAGGAGTAGTGTCCCACTTATCGTCGTGATTCAGCAGCAACAACTAAAGCTGCAGAATTTTGAGACGCTGTGAAAGAAATCGAAAAAAGCTGAAGGCTCTCCCTACGGAACACTTTTAGGGGTTCTGTCATGGTTCCTTTATGGAAGTTCGAAGACCTTGAAAATCTTTGTCACTAGGAAATGGTTGTATGCGTCTTCATATGCTGAGCAGGTGCAAGGCACTATAGCACTGTGTTTATCTCACTACCCGTCTTATGTCTAGAAAATTTTCCGTGAAAATATGCCTAGGCTTTGCTAACGTCGGTGTTGCACTTGAATTTGACTCCCTTTGTGGTGAAGTTGTTCTTTGTAGGAATGTGTCTAGTTCGTCCCGGGGTTGACCCAAACCCTTCTCGGCTGATTAGTTGTTTACACTTAAGATGTTTTCATACTACGAGTCGCTCAAAGTGTTCATCGAGATAGAGGATAGTTTGTTTACGAACCCAGAGCTGTAGTTTTGGATATGGAGAGGCTCAACAAGAAGGAGCCAAAGCCGTGTCGTCACTACAATTGCTTCTTGCGATCCTGATCAATGTCCCTCATTGAGGTACATTCATTCGTGGTGGGAACAGTCCTACTAAGAAAGGGGAAGACCTAGTGAGCGAAAGAAGTGGCTGCATAATTCGTGGTGAGCGCTGGTTGAGTGATGAGCAAAAATATGCGAAGAATACTGGAAGGGATGCGACCCCAGGCCAGAATGATTAGGGGCTCTTTTGCCGCAGACGGGGATGATACGCGCGTGGTGCTCCACGTGAAGCATACTATTTCGAAGCGGATGTATAAGGATGAAGGCGTAGACCAGCTGCCAGTCGAGACAATCGACGAAGGAAGATCTGTCAAATATGTGGCGCCAAAGCCTAGCGCCCTGAACTTATAGAAGCTTCAGTGGTGGCGCACAGTTCAAACTGTGGCACGCAGTTTGAAATGAGTATGCGTCGTGGTTTCCT